AATCAAGAGAGCTGGCCGGAACGGAACGGAGCCTTCTCGGCTGCCTCCCTCCCTCCCTCCCTCCCTCCCTCCCCTTCCAATAAAGCTTCCTTAATATGGCGATGCGGATTCTGCCCACAAGATTATGACAGGGGGAGGCGAGGCGGCCCCCCCGGCCCGGCCCTGGGCGTGCTGCTCAATCCAAGCTGCCCAATGAACCAGGGCGCCACGAAACGGGACCGCCGCCGGAGGACTCCTCCGACGCCGCTTCGCCCGTCCCCTCGGCTGAACGGGGTGGCGGAAGGCTGAGAGGCCAGGTCCTTCCAGCCAGGGGGCCGGGAGCCCCGGCAGGTCCCCGCGAGTGAAAGGTCTGGTGCGCGGGTTCCCCTCATCCTCACCCCCCACCCCACCCCACCCCGAGAAGGCTTTCTCCAGAGTCAGCCCCACCACCACTGGCGCGAGCCGGAGGAGGCCTGTTTAGGATTGCTCTCTTGGATGTCGCCTGTCGGTGGCGAAGGAAGGAGAGACGCTGTTGGTCAGAGGATTTGTCCTCGGCAGCGATCGGAGGTTAAAGATGAGCTGGGAGGATGAAGGAAGCCCGGTTCTTCCTAGAAAGAAGGAAGGACCCCCTGCCCCCATTCAATAAGTGGATATACAGTTCTTGTACAAGGGAAGGGATATATATATGAGAGAGGGAGGGAGGGCTAGGTAGGTAGGTGTCGGTCTAAGAGTTGACCTGGGAGTCCTATGCAGAGTTACTCCAGTGTGTGGACTGAGGTCAACTGGCTTAGATTGGCATAACACTGCATCGACTATCAGTGATTTCTTTTAAGGGGGGGGACCACAAGACTTCCTGGCAAGGCAGGTGTCTGCCCCAGCCCTCTGCATCCCCCCGGATGAGAGTTTTATAATTCCCATGAAGATCTTCCTTGCTCGCAATTTAAGCCAGGCCTGAGAAGCTCACTTTGCCGCTTGCAGGCAGCCGGAGCAAATCCTTCCTTTCAGGCTTAAAATAACAGCCTAGCTGGGGGTGGATGGGAGAGGTAGGGAAGGGGAGGCCAGCTAAGTTGTTCCCAAAGTTTCTTTCAGGCTTTTGAACAACTTTACTGTTTGGTAATATAATCATCTCTAACCTGCTGTCATGATGAATATGAACCGTCGTAGTCATTTTACACACTGGAAGCGCTTGTGTGTGCGTGTGTGGTACGTGCTTTAATTTGTCGTCGTTTTAAATCGAAGAACCAAACTGGCTGGCTGAACGATATGTTCAAAATAGGAGAGGCTTTAGTATAGTTTTCCACTGGGTTAACATCAGGCAGAGCAGCTAGGTGAAACTTCCTTATTCAGAGGCAGTATATCTATAAATACTGCTTAGCTAGTCCAGTATTTTCCTGTTCTGACTGGCAGTGGTCTCTTCCAGCTCTGCGACCTGAGTTCCTTCACTGGAAATGCAACGGTGTGTGTGCATTGTGTACTTGCCCCTACAGCTGTGGCCCCTCGATAATTTCGGGGGATGCTCCAACGCTGATTCCACAATGGTGTGTATTCCTTTAAAATTTTGGCAACCGGTATCAAAGTGGCAACTGAAAATTTGTTGAGGCCATAAGCGGCGATCGCTACAGATTTGGAGCTGCTGTTCAGTTACCCTTTTTCTACAAGACTGATTTATGCAGAGAGAGAGAGAAGAAAATACATGACGTTTGACATGGTGGATTTGACTGGCGACTGTGCAAGCCGCCATTGGCAGCGAAGAAACAGATTCAGAATACCAGAACTCTGCAAGCAGGAGGTTTTCGTGTTCAGAGCAGTCTCTGCCCTTGAAATGATGACTTGGAACAAAATGCTAAAACTGGGGCAAGGGAGAACAGAAGGGTTTTCTTTTTCTTTTTCTTTTTTTTCTCAAACAGAGAGTTTTAAGATCTGGTTTTGTTTTTATTTTCCATATTGCGTCTTTGGAATTGTGCTCTAGAATGGTAGGAGCCACTTCTTTTTTTTAAAAAAAATCTCACCATGTCTACTAAAGATATGCTGAGCAGACCCAATGTGCTTGGTCAGAGATAATCCTAGTCCAAAGAGCTTTCGATCATTCGGGCTGGCACTTCACACCCTTTCCCCAATCGCGAACACAGTGGGATCAATGAATATCTTCTTATCAAAATGTGATTTCCCCCCAAATGCTGTTTTTCCCCCACGTATCCAGAAGGAAGTCTTAGTATGAAAAACCTAAGTAGACTGTAAACCCCCCACTGTAGCCTGATGCACTTGTTGATGGTGAAGAGTTCTGTCAAGTCACAGCGGACTTTGAGTGACCCCTTTGGGGTTTTCAAGGCAAGAGGTGTTCAGAGGTGGTTTGCCATTGCTTGCCTTCGTGTTACAATCTTGGTATTCCTTGGTGGTCTCCCAATCAAATACTGACTGGGGCCAACCCTGCTTAGCTTCCAAGATCTGATAAAACTAGGTTAGCCTGGTCCATCCAGGCCAGGACATAATGCACTTACAGGTTACATTTTCTGATGGGGGAATGTTCAATCTGTTAACTTTACAATGGGCACACCTTTTATAAACTCCCCTCCCCCTCCATGTGGGTGCCTCTGCTCTGTGGCCAAACCTTTATCTGATGGGATTTTTACTTTTGATTTCAGGGACATCAACAGATGATATAGCTTTTTCTAGGAAATTCTTAACTGTCACTACCCAGTAACATTTACTTAGCTCCAACAGTTACAAACAAATAGCTGGAAATTTGCACACCAAAAGGCTTTGACTTTGCTTTAAAGGCCTTTGCAAGTGGTAAAAACGCACACTACGTGGTAAACAAAGTGCTCTGGTTCCCCACAATGACCTGTTGTATATGAAGGAAAGAGGGATGCAACGAATAGTTAGGAGGAAATATTTTTAAATGCATTAATGTTGAATTGCTGCTTCCCTTCTGTATGGAAAGCCAAATGCGCAATGGAATTTGATGCATAGAGAGCTGTGTTTGGAAGTGTTGGGTGATAGTGAGATATCGAAAAAATGGTATTTAGCAGAGATAAGATAGTCCAGCAGAGCCAGAGTAAAATAATTCAGACTGAGAGTCCATGTGTGATTAAAATATAACGTTTTTACTAAATTCCAGCATAGGGAAGGGTAACGGGGATGAAAATAACAACAGAGCAAAATCGGCTACATCCTTACTCTACA